AAAACATGGTTAAAATTAATTTCAAAGGGTACAGTGACAAATTTGACGAATGGAGGCCATGGACTGAAAATAACTCGCCAATAATACGATTAGAACAGATGTCAAAACCAAGCGATGATTCCCTTAGCGATCGCCTGCAAGCTTTTTGTGAACGTGTGTAGAGGGAGATCAAGCGAAAGTTGTACTCAGGGCGCAGAGAGGATCCCGAAGTTGCGCGAAGTATATGTATTGAAATTCAAGTCGATGAAGACGTTTTCAATGAACATTTTGGAAGGATTACGTCTAAAAGATATCAGAGGAATAAACTCATATATTTATGTATCTATGAATAGCTGCTGTATGATTATTTTCACTTGCCTGTGAATTATTTACATAGAATGTAAACATGTGGGTACAAAAAAATAAAATTACTTAAATGACTGGTTTTTCAAGATCCTCGAATGAAATCAATCGAAAATTCTACGGTATTAAATATTTGGGCTTTACTTGTTGATTTCCTTATGTACGCCACGGCTACCTACACGGAAATCTTCTTCATATCGTTCTCTCATGACCAACTGCAGCTTCCACGACACAGACAATCAAAGCGCAGAATACAATGAGAGCTAGTAAGCCGAACTTCACAAACTTCCCTGCCATAAGGCCGACAGCAAAATTTTTCAAACCCCGACAAATTTGATATCAAAATGCGCCAAACTTAACGTAGATTTCGAAAATAGTGGGCCTTTTAGAAAAACATCCTTGCGTAACAAGAAATCGAGCTTAGTCTCCCTGATAGTCCGAAAATCGCTCGAATTTTTTTTGTAAACAAACCAGAATCGCCATTGTTCCGACCCGAAAGGCCGACCCTAATATTTTTCTGATTCCCCGAAACGGGATTTCATTGACGCTCAATATGTTAAACTTTCCTATTCTATGTGACCTTTTTCGCTTTTCTGCATTTTACTGTACAAACGAGGGCAAAATGTTCAAAAAATGAATAATTTTAAAGAGGTCCAAGTTACCCGACATGACGCAGAACAGATTTCGTGACCACTTGTTCAACGTGACTTTGATATGTGTTTCTTTATTTAAAAATGCCTTTACTTTTCCTCTTTTTTACTTTGTATATTATAATCTTTATTGTTTGTCTGGTTGATTGTCAGGGATGCACCATTATTTTTTTGAGGGTGGTGGTGGGCAGGGATGCTGGTCAATTTTCTGGGGGATGAAATTTTTTATCACTTTTAGCACAATAACTTGTGCAACAATTATTTTGAAGTCAAAAAAAAGGGACCTGGATGATAAAACGAACTTGCTCAATTTTTTTCCACATGACTTCCCTGGCCCGAATTTTCTTTTAGCAGTTTTTGCTGTACGGGAATTTTTTTTTTTTTTTTGGAAACTGCCCAGCCCTTACCCCCTCCGTCAAAAAATAATGTTTCGTCCCTTATATTGATGTTGTGAAGCGGTGGTTTGTTTATGTTGTTATTGTTGTTTATAGCATGTATAATTTATCTCCATAGACGGCCAACATGGA